CCTGTTAGTTTAATCGTTAGTTTTGTGTAGTTTATTAGTTTCAACTTTGTGTATATCTACCATTTGCTCTTTTACATTCACAAGTTTTTTAAAGTGTGGATTGATTTTTGTTGGATATAAAAATGAGAAAGTTGTGTTAGATTAAGCATCAAAATTGATTGATACAATAAAATTGTCTTAAACAATGAAGAGTCTCCGATATCTCACAAAGTAATATGCCGAAACTTATCTAGATTGACCATTGTTGGGTACAAACAAAGTCCCACATCAGATAAAATATGAAATACACATGAATTTATATACACATAAGATACATCAACCATTATAAATAATATAGATAAAATAATGGTATTTGATCTTTTAACTATAGAACACTTTAGATTCCTTCTTGGTTTTCTCTTTTAATAGGGATGAAGAAGAGAATTTCATGACATACATGTTCTTAACCATAATTTAATTAACCAGATAGGTTCGAATTAGGAAAATGATTGGTTCAAAACTTAATTTGGGAATTTGATTTTGAAAATCCACTAGAAAGTTGAAATCATATTGGGATTTCTCTTAAATGGGTTCATACAATTAGAACAAAAAAAATAATCATAAACTAATTTGATATTAACGGTTAGATTATGCATTAAAATATAATTAATGAGCAATCAAACTCTTTCAAACCATGAACAATCTCCAATATCTTAGCGAGCATACGGAAGCTGGATTAATAGTTAGAAACAATATAGATAAAAGAGTGGTATCTGAGATCTTCCAAATGTATAACATCTTAGGTTTCTCTTAATTTTTTCTTTTAATAAGGATGAAAGGAAGTTCTCTTCTAATAAAGATGAGAGGAAGGAAAGGGAAATGTGAATACATCTTAGAGAGATCATAATCCATTTATATAACCTCTATAGGATACTTTTACCTTAGTTTCAATATTTATAATTTTGTCTTTCAAAAAATTAAAATATTGCTTATATCTCTAAAGAGTAAATTTTTTATGACATCTACGCTAATTTAATTAATTATAGTACTTTAATAAATTGACTCCTAAATTTTTTATGACATCTATACTAATTTAATTAATTATATTACTTTAATAAATTGACTCCTAATACATTTAATGATTAATATATATATTCTAAATTACTAACAAGTTGAATATTATATGAAGACATGAATACTCATAATATATTGTTTTAAGGTTTTTAAATTGAATATGGTATCAATTTTTTTGTGTTTTTTCGATTGAAATGTGTTAGATCTATCTAGAGAAAAATTCACTGAAAAAATACAACATTCATGAGATCTTAGTCCAACCATATACACATCACTCGTATCTAAAACTTTAAAATAATAAGTTAATGAGTTTTTATCTTTAAATTTTGTTCTCCTTTTTTATTTCTATTCAACAAAATTCTGGGACAAATTCTTCTCACAAAAAGACTTATCAATTCGTGTTTGATCCTTCTTTTCTTCATTCCGTTATCTTAAAATGAAAAACATTAAGGAGCTCAAGGGTCTGCTGTCTAAAGAATATGATGAAATGCACTGTTTTAAGCTCATATCTTTAGAATTATAATGAATTATAGTAGAAAAATTAAAGAGCTCATGGCTATGCTGTTTTTTAAACGAGTCATATTTCATGTCATAGTTGTAAAGTAAGAAAAAACAAAGCTGTTTTTTTATTTTATCATCTGAATGGATTGAAAAATAAGAACAAAATCACAAGTTGATAAGAGTATCCACACACACCAGCCATCAACTATCTAGAAGTTTCATATTTAACAGTTATTACGCTACAACTTCACGAAAATCCTGAACTTTTGCTAAAAATGTCTTGCTATCATCTCTTGCGCTGCCATCTCCTGTCTGAATCTAGTGATGAACTCCTCTGCTCGTTCATCTATTCCCTGCATCTGAGGTGATGCCAACGCCAGTGACTCCCACATGTCATCTGAGGCACAAGATCTACCACCCTTTGTTGTTCCTTCTTCTCCAGACAGCCTTTTAGTTCGTGATTTGTGTGCTGTTGGTGGCTTCAGCTGCCCCACCAAGTCACACGAAGGCTCTTTAAAGAGCTTATCAATGTACACAGGTGCAGGCTTCTTGTGGAACCCCAACAGCAAACTTCTGACTGTGCCTAACCTTTTGTGCCGAAAAAAACGCTTGGAGGTAGCAAATTTGGTGGTAGGTTTTGAAAGCTTTCTTGGTTTCTTCATGGATTTTGATTTGGACTTACTGAGTTTACCAATTGTAGAAGTGAAGCTCTTCCATGCCTTTTTAGCAGGTGGAAGCCTTAGCCTTAGCTTTAGGCTTACGCAGGATTTCATGATCAGCGAGGAGAGAGCAATACAAGAAGGGTAAACTCAATTATGTTCAGATTGAAAGTTGGTTCCTTTATAAGATACATGCAACATGGGTTAGATTCCTCTGTTTCATCAGTGTCATGTTGGGGAATGGTATATTACTGTTTTCATGTAAGGTGGTTATGCTGTGAACGGTGGCTTTGAATATTTTTGACAATAAGAGCATAAAGCCACCACCAATCAACTAGCTTGCTTAATTATTAAGCTGACATTAACATTAATTCGGCATAAAACTAGAATCTACTTTTCTTTTTACTTCACATTTGTTAATGCTTTTCCATTATTTGTTTATTGAAATTGAAATTTTAACTTTAGAATATTTTTCAAGTTCACACCATAACATACACAGAATATTAATATTGTTGTACCAAGGATTTGAGCTTATATGAACAAATCGTTGGGTCAGTGTTACTATTAAGCAACAAATTTTATTCAAGTATTGGAGACAAAAATAACACGATTGAAAAGAATAGTAACTTGGTTATAAAAATAATAGTTGAGTTTGTTTTATACAGATAATTTGTAACTATATTTATTTCGTTTCACCTGCTGTTAAATATTTGCTCAAATTTATTCAAGTTTATCTTTCTCCTGGTATGATAAATTTATTCTTTATTCAATTATCTTTATTTGAGGAGAGTTATGTTTCATCTTTTATCCCTATACAGACTTTAAATTAACCTTTAAAACTACAATTGTTTTAAATAAATTTCTTAATATTCAGTTTAATAATTAATTATAATTTATTTTCTAGAGATGCATATAATGGTCCATATATTGTATAAATTAAATCAATAGATTAATTTAATAACTATTTAAATTATAATTTTCACTATAAGAAAACTTTTAAATAATAATTAATTTTAATGACAAAATAATATGTTTAATGACTATTTTTTTAATTATAAGTCAATTTCTTTAGTGGTCAAAATCTTAGTAATCCTGTTACTAAACAATTTAGATATCAATTTACAAAAAAAAATTATTTTCGTTACTAATTTAGAAATCAATTATGATTTTTTATTCATAATAAAATTATTTTAATTATTAATATTTTTTAATTTACAAATTAGTATTTAAATTCACCAATGTTGTGACTAATTACTTTTAGTCACTAAAATTCATTATTAGTTTTAAAATATTGTAATCTTTTAATTATATAAGTCAATACCTTTATTATATTTAGAAAACATATGTCCTCAAATTCTTAATATTATTTGTATTTAACACTTTATTTAAATCCTTAAAAATATATTTCAAACATTAACAGTTCCAAAGAAATATACTATTAACGGTTCTAAATCCTGAAATATTAATTATTTCATATACAACATATTTTTTCACATACAACATATTTATAAAGATAGCACGATTTTAAATATAGGTTATAATTCAATATCCGCGAGGTAAAATTTTGTTGTTGACAAAATTATTTAATTTATTATTAAACTATTTATTAATATTTAATTTTAGATTTGATATATATATATATATATATATATATATAGGTTCATTTTTTTTGTTTTTGTAAAAATAGAGGATGTGGGCTTAGAGTTGTAGTTGTTTGAATTTAAGTCTGGATATTACAAGTAGGTTTCCAAATGGGATTCAATGTGGCTTTGCGAAGGAGTTCGAAAATAATAAAGGACTATAATAATAATGGAAAGATACATCTAATTAAAGGAATTATTCATAATCAAGAACTGAAAATAGTTAAAAAGTTGAAAAATAATGATAATGTAAAACTGTGATCAAAGGGATCGATACAAACACTAATCAACAATCTGAGATTCAATATAGTCTATCAATGGGGTATGATAATATTGAGTATTGAATGAGAAATCGTAATTTCGTTAAAGACAAACTCCGCAGCAAGCTCAGTCGTTGTTTTCATTGATTGAACGAGGAATCCCAGCGTTTTAATTCTTTTTTAAAATTAAAATTTTTAAAAAAATTAAAACTGAAATGCCATGATAGTTTAAAGAATAAAAATATATTTAATCTTTTAATTAAATTTAAAAAAAAAAAACAACCAGCTGGTCAGGCCGAATAGAAAAAATCCGGAAGACCAAATTCTGGCTGGTATTTAACCCAAATTCTTGACCAATCGGGTTCAGAATTCGGATATGCGAAGACCAAATTCTAAAATCAAATTGAAATTTTGCTAGTTGTGTAATTATGCGGCAATATAATTAAAAAAGGGAAACAGAGTTACTCAGTAAAAAAATACTGCTCTAGTACCAACTGGTTATCCAGATATTGAATTCCGATTAGTAAACAGAATTCTTACTTATGCCAAAAACAGCACTATACGAGTAAATATTTAAATAGAGTATCTACGGAATAAAAAATCTTATGTGTGCTCCGTAGAAAAAAATTCCAAAAGATAATTAAAGAGACACGATACATAACCAGTACTAATTCCCTCCATTGCAATGATTCCTTCTTATCAACAAACAATACACTTCTAACATTCCAAAATCACGTCACAGAGTAGTGATTCCGATAAAATTGCATAAGAAAACCAATAACAAAAAGGGTAAAGCGAGTGGACCTTACCCTATTATAACGCTAATCTAAACATGATAATCAATCATCATGAATGTATAATTAATATAGTAATACAGAGGAAATTTAATATATGATAAAGTGAGTTAGGATTAGATTAGATTAAAGTAGATTAGGTTTTAGGAGCAAGCCTGGTTAGCCAACAAGAAGTTATTGGCTTGAGATGCAGCTGCAGCTTGGGACACCAACGCTTTTATCACCAAAGTCTTAACCTGCCAGGGTTTGTAAGGAAAACCCTCCCTCGCATACGAGTTAAGCAACGCTGCGGTTCCCTCCTTCACCAACCCTCCGAACGCGTTACTCTCCTCGTCGTTCCTCGCCGCGGCTTCAATCAATGTCAGATCCGATCTGTAGTGTTCGTACACCCGAGACCCGAACACGTTCGACACCGTCGACGTCTCCGGAACCATCCTCGGCCACGCCTCCCTCCTCCCGCTCCAGAACCTGACAAGAAATCGGTACACCGTCATCGCGTTTTTTCATTTCAAGAAATTGTTAACAGAACGGAACGGAGTTTCTTACTGTGCGGTGCATCTTCCTCTGCTGCGAGTGTAGAGGAAGCCGGGAATACGATGCGTCTCTGTGGATGCTGCTAAAGATAGGATTAGGAGAAGACAAAAGAGAAGTGTGGTGCAGAGTGAAGCCATTCTTGTCTTCTACTGTTTTTCAGCTCTCGTCTGTCGATAAGTTTATCAGTGGTGAGAGATGTGAGGAGTGAGATTTGCTTCGGAATTGGCTTATTTTGGTGGAACGTTACACTGGCACTGTAGACTCTGTTTTCGAGTAACACGTGAAGACCTGCACAAAGTTACCCCCGTTGAGCATTCTTATTCTTCAAATAAATTTGAATCTTCTTCTTTTCTTTTATATTATATGTATTTTATATTTTCGATAACATTAATGGAAGATTGTGACCAAGGCATTCTTAGACTCTTTTTTTTATGGATTTACTCTTTGGATGAAATAGGAGATTTGCGATGGTCTTTTTTATTTATTTGCAACTATTTGTGTGCGAGTGCCGAAATAGTGAGATCAATCTATTTTATGTAAGGAAATTTACGGATGAAATGCATAGTTTTACAAAATTAATTTCTATAAAAATATAAAGTGGTTCATTGCTTTTGGTTAGAGAAGCTTAAGATACTTTGAGACTTGAATGAATGCAGTCTATTATGGATTTGAGGGCTTGATCAAGAGAATCGGTTTTAATTTTGATTGGTATCGATTCAAAAGTACATGCAACGGATTTCAAATTTTTTAAAAAATAATTTTATATTTTAATTTATTAAAAAAATTTATTCTATCACATCAATTAAATTTTTACAAACTCACAAACATCACGACAATGTAACAGCGTTTTGGATTACCTTTGCTTCGGCTTACTGACGTTGTCATCAACAATTGGTCGTGCGCGTGCCACGTGCCACAACCTAGATTGAGGTGCTTGATAGAAAGAAAATATCAATTTAAGAGAAATCAGTTGTGTAAGGTATTGAAAACCTAAAAACTTATTGCGTGAATTATTCTGTGATTGCAACAAATGAATCCACCTAACAGAACATGCTCCTCAAAAGCACCGAATGAATGAGAAATCCTGATTCAAGTACTGATAACACCGTCGAATTTGATGTTTCACGGAAATTTCCAGAAGTATTGGAATCAAACTTCAACAATCAAACGAATGTCCCTTCCATTTAGAAATTTAAAAATAAAAATCATCAGCTTTCGGCTAGAATTTTAGAAAAATCTCACACAAATTATAAACTTTCATTTCAAAATGAGTGTAAACTTATTGTCAAAATCAATAAAAACGTATTTATTTCATCAACTTATGATTTTTAAGTTCCTTCACTAATTGAACCCTTTATAAAATACACAAATTTATATTCTGGTTTTGAACCTTCTCTTTTATTCTCAATACGAGAAATCATAGTCCATTATTACGTCCCGATTCATGCATGCAGTGATAGATATGGTTTAGAACGTGGATATTAGCAGAAAGAAAAGAAATTTTATTGAGTGTGGATGGATCACCGGAACCCAAAGTGAAGAGCAAGAATGTGTATCTCGTAATAGAAGTGAGGTCAAAAGAATTTTGAGTGCCTGGTCTATCCCACTCAAAACTAACTTACTAACTTCCAAAGAAGAGTAAAATGTCTTATAATTAACAACTCTTACACCTTATAAGGCCTACTCTCTATTTACAAAGCATGAGTAACAGGGATGAATCCATCCTTTCTTCTACTGCTGTAAACCCTCATAATTGACTATAGAGGTCTGCTGACATGCTGCAAAATCCTTGCATAGAATGGTCAGGAAAAGTTTCCTTCATCTCTCTGTTGAAGCGTTAGTACTTAGTTTGGTATCAAAAACTCAATTTCTAGTGAAAAGGACAAACTCGCAAGACCAAGAATGACAGGCTAATTTCTATACCAGTTAGTCAAGGTACAACGAAAATATGCACTGTGGTAAAAGAAGACATCTACCGAGTACCATCAGAAAAGCAATTCAAATTTAGCCCTATAGAAAGTATAAAACTAAACAAACATATATACATACTCGCTCGATAGGGATATATGATAACATATATGATAACATTCTAGGTTAATGGGCCCTATCTTGCCCCCATTGCTAAGAAGTAAGAAATAGGATTCACTGCTAATAATAATTTTGCACTTTTTATTTGTAGGGACACTTCATCATATGGAGTGCTAATTCTTTACAACTTGCAAGTGACAAAACCCAAATGAATACATTCTGCTTAATAATTTCAAATTTTCAACTCTCAAACGACTAATAAACTATGATTATGCAACTTCCAAAATTCGCTGCTATACGTCCCAAAGAAAAATGCTCTGTTTAGAAATGTGCCCAATTAGAATATTGTTTCTATGAAATCAAAGTGTCGAATTAAACGAAGACACACAGATACATCATTAATTAATATGAAGCGAATCAAAATGTGCAACTACATTAACATTATGAACTAAACTGATCTCACAAGGATTAAATATCAACAATCCTCGGGATGAAACTCCTGCCAATTACATATCTGGGCAACGTAAATCACCCTCACAGATGGAAGGACTACAGCTTATTACAAGATATGAACAAAGACAACAACGAAATGCTAGAAGATTCATGCCAATAACGCTCTTCCTCATTCGGTATCTCGCTTGAGGCTAGATTCACCATTCTTTTCCGTTGTGTCCTTAACTATTTTAGTTTCAGCAAGACCATTCCCCTCGACCTCAGTTGCATTGACTTCAAGAGTGTTCGATTTTTGGGGCACCTTTCGATCCAGATTCTGATCAGCTTCAGATTCTTCCGAATCATCAATTTCAAACCTTGCAGGTACTTCATTGGGGTTTTGAACAGCTTCCGCGTCATGCTTGGCGGGTTCAGCATTTTGAGGCTGTGGTGTCCCAGACATTTGAGCAGCTTCTAACTTCTCATAGTTAGAAATTACCTGCTGAAGCTCATCATTGAGATATAAAGCCTCAAAAAGCGTTGCTTCATCATCTGTAGTGCTTTCCACAATCCCCTTGATGATAGAGAGTGATTGCTTGCACTTGCCCAACAAGCTCACAGTTAAATCTTCCTGCAGGCAATTATCTATCAGTAAATGAATAGCAGTGGGGGAGAACAGAAGTGCTCATTAGCTCAGTTAATAAAAATATACAAATACCAATTCATTCTTTTGGTAATGTTGCCTTTTATTTATTATCAAAACGTGTGTTTACCTTCAAAGGTTTTGGGTCAGCCTCAGAACTCAATATGCTAGAAAGCAACTCGAGACTATTCCGAGCAACCACTAGATGTTCTTTCGTCTCCTCAACTGATATTTGTTGGTAATTAGAAGAGAAAGCCGCTGGATCATCCATATCTAGTTCAGCATCAGGAATTGGGTATCTTTCAGGGGGATCTACAGGATATTGATGTGCATATGACTCCGAGGCATACGGAATAGATGGTGAATTTCCTCCCGCCATGTCAAGTGGACCATCCCTCCCTTTCAATCTCTGCCATCAAACAGAGAGGATGTAGAATTCAAATTAATGTGAGAGTGAAGGAAACGGAAGAGTCTATCACAGAAAAATTGTAAAATAGAAAACATTTGATTAAAAGCGTATAAAATGAGTGAAAATATGAAACCCAATACCGTTTCGCGTATCAAAATCAGTAGTCCGTTAAAGACAAAATTCCCACTTTCACTCGGGTATTTTTTAAGCATCATACACTTTTCCAAGCAATGTCTAGAAGCTACATACAGCAATAAAAATCAAGTACCAAAAACAAATAATGAAAAAGACAAAACATAATAGAGAGCAGAAAGACAAGAGTATCAAATGAAACAAGACATCCCGTTATGGCCGTTTTTGCTCGAACAATCAAAACACGAGCCAACGAAAAAACAATAAAAGTAAAGAAATCACGCCCACGCTCCCCCTTAAATTTTGTCTAATTTTGGCCAATGTTCTATTTTATTTCTTGCTATTACACCAACTATTCTTAATTGTCTAAAAAATCCTATATCTCGAATCTTACAAGGAAGATTGTTGTAAGTGATTAAAAACAGAACTATATACAATCTCAAGAAAGTTCAAGACACCAGTGCAATTTCCTCATAAAAACCAAGAAAACCATAGTTCAGTCTCCATGTCGATATATTTGAGTGGCTTTCAGAAACTAATTTGAAAGAGAGATTCTTCAATACATGATTATTATACAGTAGAGTTTATAATTCTTAAAGATAAGTTGTGTAATGACAAAGCATAACTAAGATAAATAAGAAAGAATATTTCAGGAACGAAAACGATGATTTATTTAACTAACGGTGAAAAGAAAGAAAAAGGAAGTAACCATATAAGTTTGACGAAAGACGGGAAGATAAGCAAGATCCTCGGAGTCGCCCCAGGCCCGAATCAACTGGAAAGCCCGACGTCGAGTGTTGTGGTGGGCCTGGGGGTTATCAATCAAGGCAACGAGGTCATCTAGAAGCTTCTCGGAAGCGATTTCGGAGAAGACCTTGTCGCAGTTCATGGCGCAGGCTTCCAAGAGGTCGAGGCTAAGAGTCTGAACCACAGGGCTCTTGTGGTTGATCTTCCTCTTGATGGCCTTAACGACCTCGGAGCCGTTAAATTGGTCGGAGTTGATCATGGCACATATCCTGAGATTGATGCCCCAATTAGGGTCCTCCATGGTTTCGAGCGTGGCCTCGTCGACCATCTTGGACTCCGGCGTGGGAGCCTGCAGCATCTCCTTCACCTTGCCGCTTACCATTCGCCCCATCTGGGCCCCACCTGTCTTCAGCCTCTCCCCCAGTTGCGCCAGCTTCAACCGCTCCATCGATTAATTTTGCCCTTTTCTTCGTTTGCGGAACCCTAGAATGGATTTGAAGAGAGATTACGACGTTTGAGGATTATAAAGTGCAGAAGAGACGAGAGAGAAAAGGAGGGGTGTGCGGTGTTCTCCTTACAGTGATTGAAAGGGTTGAATTTGCTTCCACTGGGTCCGCCACTTACTTTTTCAATCCCCTATACTCGGATTTGTTACTATTTACTTACCATCTAAAATAATCTTACATCATTAATCCATTTAAATTACTCACTCCTTATTCAAGTTAATTTATCTTTAAACATGTCAAAACTACAATTTTTAGTCTCTTTAATACCATACTTTAATAGCAAAATAGTTTCTAATTACTATTATATTGAGTTTTTAAATTATATTTTACCAGTGACATGATCTTACAAAGTTAACAACATAATAAGTATATGATTTTCTCGTCTTCTTCTCTCACGTCCTAATCATTGTCGTCTTGATTTGTTACGCGTGGACCAGATGTAGGATGACAGGCAGAAATAATACTTTGACCAAAATCATATAGTGGAAAATATTGTCTAATTTTTTTTTATATAAGTATGCAGTTATAATGTTATTTTTTATAATGTTATTTTTTATATAATCATATATTTTATTCAAATACTAATTATTTAGTTGAGAATAGTTTAGTTGATATATTTTAAATTGTCTTAAATAGTTGAAAATAATTATATTTATACATAATTTAAAAAATATGTATTCCTAATCGATATCTCGTTATATAATATATAATATTTATATTTTGAGAATATCCTAAACTAAACTTTATATATGAATTTCTTAAATATTATTTCAAACGATGTTTTAGTGTCTTTGCATAAATTGTATTTTATTAATGATAATTAAACAATATCCATTATTGTTATTTATTTTTAAATAATAATAAAACAAAATATAGTATAAAATATATCAATATGAAAAATAGAATAAATAAAAATAATAAAATATGATAAAGATAGCATGTCAGCAAAGACAATTAAAAAAGCAATTATAACTAATCAAACTTTTTATTACAACACAATTTATTTAACTAAATACAACAATTACCCAAGTATATCTTTTACAAAATATTTTAGCCATCATATCTTTTACAATTTATTACATTTATTTATTATTATTTTTATTTTAGCCATCATATTATTATTGTTAATATTGTTTTGTTATTCCTTACGTTATTAATTGACTGTATATAGAAATTCTATTTCCAGCCCTTTCTTCTTTTCAGTTAGTTTCACTTTCTTTATTATATGGAAAATGATACTTGAACAACCATTTTTTACAACATTTAGATACGCGCACACGTGTCTAAATTTGAGTGGTCCAGTTGGAAAAATTAAATGAAAATGGACCACTCAAATTTAGACACGTGTGCGCGTATCTAAATGTTGTCAAAAATGGTTGTTCAAGTGTCATTTTCCTTATTATATTTCTACTTTTAACCACCTACCAACTTTATCTTCTACGCACTGCATTTCTATTACTTACATCATGCAACATAGGGCATTTAATCTCTTATTTGACTCTTTTTTTAATTCATTATGTAGCAGGTATATATACTTTATGTTATGACGTTAGTTTTGTTCTAATGTAAGACTTCGGTGAAAATAAAGCCCCTAGTCATCTTTATTTATATTTTCAACCTTTTAGAATTTTAAAATAAATGTTCATTGTTATAATTTACAATTTTAAATTTTATGTCATTTTAGTATATTTAAAAACAAAAAATTATTTTTATATTTTATAATTTTAAAGTTGTGTTATATCAATATCTTTTAATAAAGTGTTTTACAAAATTCAGATTATAACTTCAATTGTAACTTTTATATTTAAAATATTTAAATATATAATATAAAATAATGGACACAAAGGCAAAAAACATGTCACATGATACAAATTGAGGAACAAATTTCCAAACCATCCCAAAAATATAACTAGGAAGACATGATTTGCAAGTGGTGAAACACCACTTATTCAGGTTTTTAAACTTTTTTTTTTTCATTTTCTTTTAAATAATTTCTTTTCTTAAATCTTAAATCACATTGTTCCTTTATCACTATTTTCATTTTCACCCTCTCACCATGTTTTTCTCGTTCTCACTATGTTGCATTTTTCATTGACGTTTCTCATTTTCTTCACTCTCATTATCTTGATATACTCTCATTATCTTGCCATGTTTATCTTGCTCTCACTCTAATTCATCTCTCGTTTGTTACTTTCAACATGCTCACTCTCTCACCCTTTTGTTGGTATTCTCTCTCTCTCTCTCTCTCTCCCTCCCCCCTTTCTCTCCCCCTCCCCCCTTTCTCTCCATTTGATTTTGATTTGTGTATTCGTGCATGTTAGATTTCTCAATATTTCCCAACTAACTTTGTGAACTATGTTCACAATTTGAGGTTCACATATGTCCAACTCGATGGAATGAAATATAGTTGTTTTCTAATATGAATGAACTAAAGGAGGGAGATGTGATTGTTTTTCATGTTGAGAATTTGTTTATGGATATTAACATTGATGTATCTGTGAATGAAAAATATATTTTTAATATCATTGGGTTTTGTGCCATTTTAGATGCACTTTATCATTTTTGAGAAACCATTCAAACTTTAAAAGATATCTCACCTAATGTTCTTGTTATATTTTTCCATATGTTGTATGTTGTATTTCTTGCTTTTATGTTGTAACAAATATTAAACTGTAACATATATAAAAGAATGTGTTGATTGGATTCTGAAAATTAGAGATAGAAACATTGATTTAAAAGAAAATGGTGAAGACATTCTTGAAATACGAAAAGATATTATAAATTTTGAACTAATGTGTGATGGTTAAATTGTTTATGAAGTTTTCTTTCGAATATTAGTTTATCCTGTTGTCTCTTTTGTTGTCTTGGATCGTTTCTTCTGCGATGATCACCTTAGCAGATGAGGGATAGGAGTTGAAGTATATATGGTAAATGACGGTGATGTTGTAGTTTGTCTTATGGGTCTAGTGACTATGTTTAGCTCTTTTAGATATATTTATTATTATAATTATTTTCTTCTAGATAACTATATTAATACTATATCTATAAGTTGAGACATTTTTATTTTATTTTATTGATTTTATAACGTCTTATTTTATCAGTGTTAAACGACTAAAATTAAGATGTTACAAAATATAGTATCACAAATGTATTGATCATAATTATTATAAACTGCAATTATATATTTATCTAAATAAAACTAAAAAATTTATAATCTACTTTACTTGTGCATTGACACGAATAAAAAATCTAGGATAATATATATATATATATATGGCTTAGTATCTATTTTAGTCCCTATTTTCGTCACTTTTGTTTAAAGTGGTCTTCGACTTTTTTTGGCGTCCAAAGTGGTCAATTGTTTTGTAAAATTTGTTCAATTTGATCCTTTTCGCTGATGATGTCTAATTGTTAGTGGTGTAATACCCATAGAAGCCAATATTGAATGAGCTCTCAGTTTTTCATATATGTGGCAAGTTAAAGGAATGTGATGTGGAAACATTGTAAGTGAAAGTGGTTTCCTCCTCCGTCAGTTACAAACCACGCTGGGAACAACACAGATGACGATCATCTTCTCCATCGTCATCTCTCGCGCATCAACCTACAAACATAGACTAGAAAATGTAAAAACCCCAAACCATCATCTAGATTCACGAGCCTCCTCCAAGCAAACCACACCACCACGAAATCTTCTTCATCTTCGCACCCAACCTACAACATCAAAGAACTAGAAACACAACCATGGAAGCACCCACATGGAACCCTAGTTCGCCTTCTCCATCGCAAACGTGAAAACCCTGAACCATCATCCATATCTGCGAGCCCCCTCCATGTGAACCAGAACACCGCGAAATCTCCTTAATCTTCTCACCCAACCTGCAACATCAAAGAACTAGAAACACAACCCTGGAAGCATCCACACAAACTTTATCTTCAGGAACCTGCAAACCCAAAACCCAGATAACCACCCAAATTAGACAGTCACTCGTGAATCATCAACACACAATCAAGTTCACACCTCCTTTATGTTCTTGTCGGAAGTCCCACATCAACTAGAGATAAGGCCAAATTATAACATATAAGTGGGATGCAAACCTCATCTTACAAGCTGGTTTTGTAGGGTTGAGTAATGCTTAAATCTCACTTCTTAATATGGTATCAGAGCCAAGTTAAGAGTCTATCCTAGCAATATTTCTTGTTTCTTGGGCATTTCTATTCCACCCGCTATCGGGCCGTTATCGGACCACCCAATTTTTACTATCACGTTCGAGATGTCTATACTTCGACGTGGAGATGGTGTGTTGGAAGTCCCACATTGACTAGAGATAAGGCCAAATTATAATATATAAGTGAGGTGCAAACCTCATCTTACAAGCTGGTTTTGTGGGGATGAGTTAGGCATAAAACCCACTTTCTAATAGTTCTCCTTTTTCACACCATTATCTTCGTCCAAACCTGCATAGAAAACCAGAACGAGAATCCCACCACCTAAATCGTGCAATGAGAATTAGAAACACGTCGCAAGCTCCATTTCACTTAATCGATTTGAGCCAGTCACCATGAGCTCTATTGTGTGATAATTCAAATTGAACAAATTTTATAAAAAAATGATCACTTAGAACACCGAAAGAAGTCAAAGACTACTTTGAACAAAAGTGATGAAAATAAAAAACGGTATTAAACATATATATATATATATATATATATATATTAGGTAGCCAACAAGTATTTCGTAACTAAGATGTATTACTTTTTGTTATTGAATAAAATTTATTTATGCTATATAGAAATAAAAGATGGCTAAATATGAAATATGGTTTTTGATCTAATAGTGTATGGTTGAATTGTAGGAATACAGTGATTTTGAACGATATAATTTCCAATGACAGTCACCTGTGTCCTATACTATTATGCTTAGTTAGTCTTCGGTAGAAATTTCTTAGTTTGTCGCATGTCAAAAAATAAATAAAAAATTACGTGAAACAAGGAATTTCCTGATTGATGACTATTTCCATGATTCTATAAACAATTGTTCTATTGCTAGTTGGATTAATATATTTTAGAAGAAAAAAATTATCAATTTTAATTTTTAAAAAGAAATGTTTTCCTTT